TATTATATTTACCCACTAAATATAGATAATATAGATTCTATAATTAGAAACCCAAAAATAGTTTGGGTAAATATAAGAATTTTATAATATTAAAAATCTCTTATATTTACCCTTATTTACCACCCATAATCATGCCTTTATGGGCTATTATTGGGCTTTTATCAACAACTCCTACAAACCTTTTAAAACATTTAATCATTTTTTTTTTTTAATTGAATGTAAAATTACAATCAAACCTTAAACTTTTTTTACAATAGAATGCATCTTTATTTTTAAAATTTATGAAAAATAAGATTACATGACTTCAAGAGATTAGGAGATTCGTGTGGCAAACCACACCATTAACCCTTCGTCATAAGCTCGGTTTTCCGTTCTCCGTATCGAGTTTAGGGCATATCCAACCCCACTCCAAACACCATTTTGGAGTAAAAGCCTCTTCAACCCCACTCGATTTTCAATTCCAAAATAGAGTAAACCCATTTTTTTCTCCAAATATGGAGTAATCTCTTTTTCCACTACATTTTGGAATTAAACTTTTTATTTATAAAATAGTTTTTCAAATTTAAATCATTTAATTTTATAAGATATTTTTTTTTGTGATGATTTTCAGTTTGTTTGATATTTTTTTTTTAATTGAAGAATTACAAATTTATCAAATCACAAGAATTCGCAACAAAATAGTAGATGCATGTTTTTACTTTCTTTAAACAGTCGACAGAAGTAAAGGATGTCCAAAAAACACAAAAGGAACATCAAACATAAATACTTTTAACAAACTTTTCGAAAACATTTCATAAAAACATTCATTTGTTTTTGGACTAGCCGTAGTAGATTCATTAGAAGATTATTTTTAAAATTACAAAGAGCCCGGCCGAAAGAAAAAGGTCAAAGGACCACCAGTCAAACACCCGAATATCCCGCGAAGGCTATTTTCGTCATTTAAAAACAAATCAATCACCACCGTTAGATTTAACTAACGGTGACGATCGTTACTTTACAGTTTTTTTTTAGTATCTTTTGGTGATCTCTGTCTCTGTGTACAGAAATGAAGGGTTTTGAGAAATGATTGGTTGGTTTGACCATGGCGAGAAATGCCACCTGGTTTTTCTATTTAGCTATATCCGCTCCACC